GGACCATAAAGCTGAACAGGTATGCACGATGGCTATAAACTGACTGATCAAACTTCAGTTGNTCCAGATGTCGACGCCCTTCCTCCGGTTAACCTTTGAGACGTGAAGAGCGAAGGAAATCAATTCCTATATATTAACACTACCATTACCACACTTTTGAATCCAGTACCACTTGAGTGTTCCACAGGAGCGAACTAACATGGATCCAACCTATAGATTTACCTACACCAGACCGTCGCCGTCGTACGTAAACATTCCCAGCATTAATCAGGGCAGGAGAGCCCTTTTACGGAACAGAATTACCTCCATGGAATCCACAATTATTGGGTCCCCTCTAATAGACAATAAGGTTCCACCAGACACCTCACAACCTTCCTGAAACTTCCGACGGAACCTCATCGTCCAGGCAAATTGCCGTTGTCACTGTGAATGCACTTACAGACACGAACACTGTTTTCAAAAAAAGCTTTTTTTACAAGGAATCTTTTTTTTCATTTGGAAAGACAGTGTGTCTCTATCATTTCTATTTATTTTCGACCCTATCTCTATCATCAGCCGAAAACAAGCAAAAAGTTAACAAGGATCAGCCGGGTGTTACCCATTCTCAGTTCATCAGTACTACAGTCGGACTCGTTCCTATTTCAATCCATGATGACTGGCAAGGAAGTCGATTACGGTGAAGAACCTCATAAAGCTTCTCGAGAAGGATCTCAACTTCTGGGAAGGAGAGTGAAGACTCCAAGAATGCGGGCTGGCGCTGACAAACGAAGGTTCTCTCAAATCTTCAAGGTTAACTTACCACCGGTTATTGATGACAGACTTACTGAAATCTATCACCAAGTCACCGACCTTTCCCCACTACCACCAGATTTCGATTACAGACATATGTTCACGTAAGTTTTCACAATGTCTCTGTAACTGATGGCCCGTTCGCGACTACCTATTTCAGATCATACGTATGGCGAGCTATTTTCTTAACAAGTTTCACACTTGGAATTCGATTCGGAAACATTGAATTAATTAGTGGATCATTTCTGGGATTATTTGGAAGTTTCATAGTATTTATCGTTGCTTACATACTCGTTCCAGTCGGTTTATTATATGCGGACCATAAAGCTGAACAGGTATGCACGATGGCTATAAACTGACTGATTAAACTTCAGTTGGCCACCCCGCCCGCATGACTGGAGATAGTGCCTCTCACCTCCCTTTGATGTGCTAGATAACAATCACGCGGTGGGTCATTCGGTGGTACCTAACAGAATGCGATTCCTGCTGATAAGGGTTGATAATAAACGAGATAAAGACCGTCATAGAATTCTTTAGGTTTCCGCCAGTTGGCACCAGGGAGCCTGAATTGCAAATCGATATAGGTCAGAATGCGCCATCGCGTGCGAAATTAGGTTGCCGCATGCGCGGCGACTATAGTCGATTTTGCCTAGGTCCCCTTATCTTCAATCTGGTAGAGGGGACAGGCTTTGAGGCAAACAACCGATGCCGCAATGCTCGCTGCGGTCTGATTTCAGCGAGGCGATCACGGTGGCACATATTGACCAACACTCAAGGTTTTCATGGGGGAACCCTTTTGATTGGGAAGGAGTAACTGCTAGTGATATGGTTCGATAAGCAAAGAAAACAAGTGATTATGCAAGATTAAGGCGTGATCACAACCAGTTTTTAATGCAATGTTATAAAAACTGTAGATGCAGGTTATAGAGCTCTGATAAAGAGAGTTAAGAGGTGATAATAAGTGATAGAACATAGAAAGGTCTGGAAGATTAAACATCAATGGCAAGTTCTTTTAAGCCTATACTTTTCAGAAAGGCATTAACCTAGATGAAAGAAGAATCACATTAATTGGAGTCTCTGCCCTTTTGGGAGTGTTGGGAAGCGCTATGAATCAGCACTATGTGATTCCCGCAGACAAAAGAGCTCCCGCATACTTTCTACCAGGGCTGATTGGCCTACATGTTCAGGTCAGCCTTTCCACCCTATTCATCTCCCCATTTGATATCATTTTACGACTCAAAAGCTATATCATGCAGTAAACCCATCGTTTGAGGCGGTAGAGAGAATTTATAAACTCCTTTCCAGGTGGTCGGACCCCATTTTGCCAAGGACCGCATCAAGTTCGTTGCGGTTTCTGTCGGTAGCGCTTACATCGTCGGTATCGTGCTTACGTCGATGGCTGGGAACTTAACCTTCGGGCAACTTTGTGGTCTGACCGTATCAGCTATTTGTGCCGCTATCAACCTACAGATCATCGTTGCAGCCATCATTAACCGTAAGTACTTAGCTGCTTTACTTCTGCTGAAAGTCCCGGTCCTAGCAGTCAATACATTTCAGATAAA